AAAATATCAGGTTACTTTTCTATATAAGTATAGAAATAAATAATTGTTTATTTTATTTTGAATTTAGAATCCACAAGAAGCTGATCCATTGATGCGTCTTCAAAAAGATCTTGATGATACAAAAGATATTCTTGTAAGTTTCTTATTTAAACTATTTTAATAAGATATATTTTGTTTTCTTTTTCTATTTGTAGAAAAGTACATTAGTTAATGTACTTGAGCGTGGTGAAAAAATTGATGATTTAGTTGCACGGTCAAGTGATTTAAGTTTCGAGGCAAAAGCATTTTATAAAACGGTACAACTATATTCTTTGCTTATTTATATATTAATTTTTATTTGTTTTATCTTTAGGCAAGAAAAACAAATCGATGTTGCACATTATTCTAATTCTTTATTTCCATATTATTATCTTTATTTCATGTTAATTTCAGCAGTTTTTTTTTCTGTATTCTCTTTTTTTTTGTATAGAATGCCAGATGAAAAATCTAAGAAAAGACCATTGGACGTGTTTTTTTTCCACAGATGCTCATCATTCTGGTTTTTATGTAACTCGTATTCGTTCGTATGAGTCTATCAATGTATTTATTCTTTATTGTGTATGAGTGTGTGTATTTATAAAAAAAAATATTGACGATCCGGAGAGAAAGAAAGAACAAAAATCATACATGATGGATCGTTCATCTAGGCTATTAAAGCCATAATGTTTCCTTTTGTTTCCTTGTAATTGAATCATTGAAAATTTGTTTGAAATAAATTTAAAGAATTATAAAAAAACCTTCATGTCACTCTTTAGATTTGAATTAAAAATATAGAAACAATAAAAACAAAATGTCTAAATCGCCTTTTTATTCAATTCTCCTTCCAACTTATAATGAACGAGAAAATTTACCAGTTGTTGTTGCTTTAATTGAAGAATATTTAAATGATAAACCACATGAAATAATTATTATTGATGATAATTCGCCTGATGGGACACAACAAATTGCTATTGAATTACAGCATCAATTAGGTCCAGAACGAATTATTCTTAAACCACGTTCAGGTAAATTAGGTTTAGGCTCAGCTTATATTCATGGTTCAAAATATGCACGTGGAGATTTTATTATTATAATGGATGTTGATTTATCACATCATCCACGCTATATTCCATCATTTATTGAAAAACAACGTGAAGGTAATTATGATATTGTAACAGGTAGTCGTTATTTACCTGGTGGTGGTGTTGCTGGATGGAATCTTAAACGTAAAATAATATCGTGTGGAGCTAATTATTTAACACAACTTCTACTTCGTCCACCAATATCTGATGTAACTGGTTCATTTCGTTTATATCGTAAATCTATTTTTGACCAATTAATTAGTCAGTGTACATCGAAAGGATATGTTTTTCAAATGGAAATGATTGTACGAGCTGTTAAAGCAAAATTACGTATTGCACAAGTACCAATTATATTTGTTGATCGACTTTATGGTGAATCAAAATTAGGTGGACAAGAAGTTGTTTTATTTGCTAAAGGTGTATTTCAATTAACTTTTCTTGAATAGAATTTACTGTTGCTTTTCTTTCTTTTTTCTTTTCTTTGAACATGCAATGAGTTTTATTGTTTTTCTTTTTACAGACATTCAAAATTAACATCAATAAAGATAGTTTCAATATCTTCTGTTTTTGAGTAAAATATTCATTGTCTAAAGATCACTTAAGATTGATCAATTTGGGTATTTTTTCAGTTTTGATTATATAGAACTAACCAATTATTTGATATTAGTAAATATCAAACTTTCTTTGTGTCAACAAGGGATTAATTCATTCAAGAACATGGCGAAAAAATTCTAATCCCTATATAATTTTGTTAAATACGATCTAAAAGTAGCGTTGAAGTATATAGATATAAATTTGGACCCACAGATGTAAAAGTTGGGTAGAGAAAAACTTTTTCATGACTTATACTTCATCTTA